AGCCACTGATAAACTGTCCTTGCTTCAGTAAGTAATTCTCACCCATGTTCATTCAGATAACCATAATTAAGGTCACAAGAACACAAACAAACACAAACAAAGCGTTGAAAGTAGGAGGAGAACTTGTTGAGACCAGGGCTCAGCGGAAGTGGAATGGGGATGATCAAGTGTAACAGTAAGTGAAAATATAGTATATATATATATACTCTCTCTCTATATATAGTGTATATATATATATACATACATATATATATATATATATATATATATATATATATACACACAATATATACACACACACAACATTGTAAAATGAAATAAGTGCAGACATGACCAGTACCTCAAGGGAGTATGTTCCAAGAATAGAGGCAAGTAGTTACCCTAATGTACAATATGGTTTTCCCTACATACACCCACAGGAGAAACTTTAATTTGTTAGCTAGTCACAAGGAAATAGTTACAATATATAATGGTGAAATCAAACTACAATAGCAATATATAATGAGTCAGTTTCTGTCTCAGTATGTCCTAGTACACTGCACTTACCTTTCTTCTTGGGCTAATGTGATGTCACATAGCTGTGGGTATAAGGTTATTGTGTAATTCAAATTCTGATTTCTGTACCGCCCATATCTGGTTGCAATCCTTGTTCTGAGAATCTTCTGTCTCAATGTTATGTGAATACTCCTCCCCAACTGTCCCAATATGCCAATAAAGCGGCTTACAGCCAATCGCTGAGAGGGCAGAGAATAGGGCTGGATGTCCTGCCAGCCAGGGGAGGATGAATTAGAAGAGGAAATGAGGGATTCTGCCACAGGAGAGGTTCAGGTGACGCCAAGAGAAGAGCTGGTGCAGAAAAAGCTACAAAGTCCAGTATCTCTGGGATGTATGTTGGGAGGAAACCAGATTAGCTGAGAGGGTTAAGAACAGAGTGAAGCTTGCTAAAATAATATAATAGAGTCTCAATTATTTGTATGATAGCCAGGTTGGGAGAGAAACTGTGAAACAAACACCATTTTATAAAAATAACCTTACCACACAGCTGCTATATAATGAGATTATATGAGGTGAATGATGGACTGGTATAGCTGGCAACCTCTCATGATGTTACTCGGAACTACCCACAATTTAAAAGTTACAAATATTTACCTCTAGAAAATTTCATTTAATGTTTTCAGACACAAAGTGGACTGAAACTGTAAAATCTATACTGCAAATAAGAGAATATTACAATAAAGTTAGCTGAACTTGCTGGACCCACCGGGGTAGTTTGCCAGAAGATACTGGCTACACTCAAAGCCCACAGAGCTTGGGTGGCCTTGTCTAAAACCCTCTGGGCAGTGAGACAAACACTTTAGTTGTCATGCATTGAGCCATTATCCTTGTGACTGCCATAGAGCTACGCATGCTGGTAGCCCTGTATCTCTGGGGTCTCAAAGATGTCCCTTCTTCCAGGGACCCCCATATACTGTAGAAGACTATAGCAACCACAATCCACAATTTGCCTGGGCTTTGTCCTGGTGGAGTTCTCTGTGATAGTTCTGCTACAACCATGTAATTTTGCCTTATCTTTTGAAGAGTTGGAGAGATTTCTTAGAAGATACATGGAGAACTCTACCCTTCTCCCCAGTTTCTTTCCTTTTTTTCTTCTCTTTCTCTCTCTTTCTGTTATTTTTGGTGGCGGAGATCAAGACAGGGTTTCTCTGTGTAGCCCTGGCTATCCTGGAACTTACTTTGTAGACCAGGCTAGCCTTGACCTCACAGAGATCCGCCTGCCTCTGCCTCCCAAGTGCTGGGATTAAAGATGTGCTCCGCCAAGCCTAGTTTCTTCCCTGCTTTTATATTGTGTGGACCTGGGGTATTAGAACAATATACTGAGATTCGTTTGTGACTTCTCATCAACAGAAAGAAGGGAAACACAGACTCATTCAAGCACAGCACGCAGAAAACAGATTTATGGTGGCTTTAGTCAGCCTCAAGGTTAGTTGGTACCCTGAGCCCCCTCCCGGTATGATTCTTTTGTATCAAGGGCTTGGCATGGTGATACCTTCCTGTAACTTTAGCATTCAGGAGGCTGAGGCAGGACAGCTACTTTGTGGCCAGCCTGGGCTATATAATGAGATTCTGTTTTAAACAAACAAACAAAAAATGCCACTATAAATAACACCAACAAAATAATCCATGCTTTTTACAAATATGGGAAGGGGAGCTTTGAAGATCTCTATTGTGCTTTCCAGGTCATTTTTCCACATCTTTCATGAATAGCACCAGGCTTCCTTCTAGTCCAATCTACTCGGTAATTGCTGTTCCCCTCAAAGTATACTTTATTATATTTTACAATGGTCAGGCTAAGAATTTTCCAGATCTTTACATTTAACTTCCCCTTTGATGCCCTGTCTCTCCTTCTGTATTTCCTTAGAAGCCAGTTGTCAGGTCCCAAAGACAAGTCTCACCCAATACTTGTGCCTCTTCCTAGCACTTCCCACGCCATTCCCTATCCTAAACCTCACCAACCCAAGCCCTGGCCTTCCCTTCCCTTCTGATCCTATATAAATCGGCTATTTTGGCCAAGCGTTCTCTCGGTTTCCGTGTTCTCTTGGCCTTTTGACTCCTGACTGGCTTGCCCTTGGCCTTTTTGCCTTCTTGGTTCTGATCTCTTCCTCTTTTGCCCTAACCCTTCCGCCACGGCTAAATTCAATAATGGACCCTTCCAGATACATCTGTCTGAATTTTCCCTTATATCTACAATAAAACCCTTCTCCTCAACCATACCTTGGAGCAGTCATGTCTTTGCTTTCATTCAGCAGTAAGGAAATTCATGCAGTCACCCAAACACTGCAGCTGAGAGATCTTTTGTTCTAAATACAACAATTCATCACTCTGAAGTTCTGTTCTCCATATTGTCCTTGGACACAGAAATAATTCAGTTGCTTAGCCAGTTAGTAACGAGGATGGCAATTTCCCATTTCTAATCAGATGTCCTCATGTCTCATTAAAATCTCATCCGTTTAGCCTTCATTTTTCTGCCAATGTTCTGTTTAAGGGAACAATGTTGGTTACCTTTAATTGTCAACCTTACAAAATCTGTAATTACCCAGGACCCAAGTCTCAGTCTGGGACTGGTCTGCGGTCATGTTTGTGAGGGAGTATCTTGGGTTTGTTACCTGATGGGAGAAAGGCCAGCTTAAAAGTGGGTGGTATTATTCCCTGAGTTTGGGTCCCAGACTGGGTAAGAGATGAAAATGGGTGGACAGTACGCATGCATACTTTCATCTCTCTCTGCTCTTAACTGAGAATATGGTGTGACTATGTGTTTCAGGTTCCCTGCCTTTATTTTTCTGCAGTGACAGACTATAACCCAGACCTGTGAAGTAAATAAACCATTCTTTCAAGTTACTTTCTTCAAGACAGCATCTCTCCTGTCTTTGCCTCCCAAGCTCTGTAATTAAAGGCTAAAAAAATGAAACTCCAACTTCTATACTATAATCTGTCAAGATTTACTCTCCTTAACTTCCTTCTTTAATTTTACAACTTGACAACTTACTTATTTCATCCTGTCGACAATACTAAATGTCTCCACCTTCTTACTTAGGACACATGGGAATTCTGCTATAAATTTCTGGAACTAGAAATGGAACTGTGCCTCTGGGGTATATTTCTTTCAGTTAGTATTATGAGCCATACCCACGTCTCCCACTGGAAGGTATCCTTGACTCCATGCAAGCTGGACAGCTTTGGTAGTGTTTGTTCATCTGCCAGATGGGCTCTGGACTATGGTTATGTTACCTTGAGATAGGGTCTCCTTATAACATCCGAGATGACTGGGGACATTAGATATTTCTACATAGGTATTAAAAATTGTTGGCTGAGTTGTGTAGAATATACCTTTATTCTCTGCACTTGGGAAGCAGAGGCAGGTAAATCTCTATGATGAATTCCAGGCCAGCCTAGTCTTCAGTAATATGAAGTTCCAGGCCAGCAAATGACACTGACTTAAAAGAACATCAACCATAGTTTTTTGTTTGTTTTTTGTTTTCGCTGTCCTCCAGACATCCTGTAAAGTAGTTATTCCATTCATGTTCAAAAAATTGTTTTGTTTTGTTTTTTTTGTTTGTTTTGAATATGGTGCTAGGTGTTGAATCTAGTTCTAGGCAAATATTCTCTGCCAATATACTGCAACCCCAGCTCCTCTTTTTATTCTAAAACATGCGCTAAGTTGCCCAAGCTGGCCTTGATTTCATCCTGTCGCCCAGACAGGCACTGACCTTGCCATCCTGCTTTAGTCTCCTGATTAGCTGGAATTTCAGGCCTCAGCTCCCTATGGAGCCCAGTCTTAATCTAATGAGAGAAAAACAAATCACTGTAGAAGAGGGTTACAACGGATTATTATGCACCAGGACACCGGGCTAGATATGGGATTTCTTAATCTATTTCCAAGTTAATTCGAAAACGCTGAATGCCTACATCACTCTCCCCACCCCAACCCCTACCCTCGAGCCAGAATCTTGAAGCAACCTCCGGTTGGTCCAGAACCTGGGATATAGTTCAAAATGGCCTTCAGTTGCATGGACCGGTACTGGGGGCAGGTACTAACATAATATGCTCAACTATATATACTTTTCAGGAGGGATGTCTCTGGAGAGACAGGAGAACAGGATTCTGCAAGAACTGGGGGCTAAAGCCCCGGGGTCCCGCCACCAGGAGAGCAGAGAAACCGTGAGTCACGCAGCACCCAAAGCAAAGTCGGGTGCAGAACGGTGGCGGCGACCCGGGGAAGACCCGGCGCCTCCCACACTTGCCGCGCTGTTCACCCCGTCTGCTCCCTGACCCTCCTGGGGTTTCAAGAGGGCTCCGGAGGTCGGCTGTCACCGAGCCAGAGGCTCGGTCACAATCCCGGCCCTCGCAGCGGACCGGACCGTGCCAGGAAGAAAGATGGCAGGTGAGGAGTATCCGCCCTCTGCGGGGTTCCCGATGACACGGCTGGCCGCGGAGACACTTACCATGTCTGCGCCCCACGCTCCCAGAGGTCCTGGTGTTGGCGGTCACAAAGCCACGGACTCAGAAGGGCCGCCTCGGACTCCCTCGGCTGGCGGGACAGTATCGCCACAAAGACTCGGCAGGAGAAAGATGGCCGGTGAGGAACTTCCGCTTCACCAAGTGACGCTTCTGATTGGATAGCGCTTGCAGCGCTCCGCGGTACTGATTGGATAGCGGGCAGAGCCCACCCCTGCCCTACACTAAGCCGGGTGGCAAGCGCTTATTTTAACAAAATAGGACACAGATGCCACAATGCAGCCACAGCTCTGGCAGCCTAGTCAAAAACCCGCGCCTAGGATTTAAGTAGAATGTGCCCTTGGTTTTCCCCAAATAAGGGCTTTCCTGCTTCCTTCTCCTGGAAATTAAATCTGGAGTCTGCTTGATGTAAAGTCAGATTTAGTGTACCATGGACACAACCTCAGAGAAAGGCCTGCCGCGGAGAAGATTCCCAGCCAGAGCATGCCACACTGAAAAGGAAGAGAAGCTCTTAGGTCACACTTGAGAAGTTTGGAATGATGCTGTTTGCATCGCAGCAAAAGGTTTTTTCCTACAATTTCACTCAGTCCATGCATTTTCAGCCAAGAAAACAAAAAAATATGCCAAGAGTTGTTTGATGTGTATGTAAAATGTAGTTGTGCAGTAGCGATCACAAGGTCTTCTAGAGGTGCTGGAACCAGTTCGCTCTGCCAATTACAGCAATGTTATTAGAATTTTAAGGAGAAATCTCAGGGGAGCAAAGCTGTAAGTCACTGCAGCTGCTGGAGCAGGAGAACAGAGAGAAGAAAAACAAAACCATGCCATTTGAGCTACACCTGCCTAGACGTCAGCCGCACTGAGGCAGGCAGTCACATGACAGGGAGGGAAACTTTATGGGAAAAGTAAGGGCACCCAAAGCCAGAGACTGGGAGTTAGGAGGATCCAGGATAGGCAGACAGAACACAAATAGATAGTAAAGATGACAAACTTCCAACTTTCCCCTTATATTACTGAACAGGGACAAAGGCCTGAAAGGCCCAGCAGGCTTTCATTCCTGCCAGTAGGGTCGGCTGCTGTGGACAGGTAATGCAAGTTCAACAGCACAGATCAAATATGTTCACTCCCAAATGCGGTCCTATCAGTTTTCCTGTCTTTGTTCAAACTGAACATCCCTAAACTAAAAAGACCCTTCAAAGATTCCTGATCCCTGCTTCTCTGCTTTGCAGAAGGCTTTTCTGTGTGCTTCCTCTCTTCTTGTATGTGTAGGTGTTTCCTTATTCCTAGTAAGAGCCTTTCTTTTCAGGCTGACCTTGCTTGCAATGTCTGAGATTTCCCCTGTTGCTACTTGTTGCACTTGAGAATTTTCTTGACTTTTAATTCTTTAACTAGAAGAGAAAACAAACCCTATCAAGACACCTAGAAGGCATCAGAAAAAAGCATACTTAGAGTATGACCAGTATCTGAAAGAAAAAGAAAAAGTTCTGCCTTTCTCAGGCCATGAGTCAGAAAGGTGGGCTGGCCCAGCTGAATCTCAGAAAGGCTGGTAGGAACTGCCTTAGGGAGCACCGATTCTGGCGAGGGAAATTACCATATCTTGTTAAAGGAATGATTATTCTACATATCTCTTTAGCATGGCTTACGGTGAGCCCACCTTCCTAGGAATGGGCCTATCTCTCTGAGATATGGTCCATTGTTCAGGTTATTGAAAGGCCCAAGTGGATTTACTCTTTCATATTTTGGATAGCTTGGAATGTTAGGTCTCTACCCAGGCCAGAGATTTTATTCTCTTGACCAGAAGGAACTAGGTTTTCCCTTAATGGTCCTTTACTACTGCTGTCCAGCTCTGAAGAAGTAGCCCTCATATTATTTAAGAGATGGGCTAAAATTGGCGGATAGATTCAATTAACGAGCATTTAGATGTCTGTAAGTTCTAAAGCTGCTCACCAGAAGAGTTTATTACTGTCTGGACAGGAGTTATAGTTTCCACCCTTACATGCAGCCTTCAGGTAAGGGTGGTCCTTTAGAAGCAAACAAGAAACCAGAGTTCCAGAACTCCTGAAGAACAAATTAAAGGCATAATGACACTGCTGCTTTGGGGTCTCCTGCCCTGAATTGCCTATCCATTTTGTGTCTCTTGTTCTCATCACTGTAAGGCTGGGGCTGGCGCAATCTGCCACCCCAAGCCCACCGCAGCGGACACGCCAGGCTGAGCCACCCCAAGCTGCGCTGGCAGGCCGCCCCCAGCCGTCCTGACGCCTCACAAGCTTCGGTGACTCACGGCCGACCCTCCCCAAGGCGGCAGCCGGAATCCGAAAAGCCCTCTGCACCCCCAGAACGCCACAGTCACGTCCCAGAGAGCTGGCCACGGAGACTCTTCCTGCCTCAGCCTAAGGGAACCCGACACCTTTGCTGCCTCAGAATGCCTACTGCCTACTGTTATCACGGGGTGGTCCGTGAGAACAACTGTTCCTGCTTTCCTCCTCCAGTCTACTGCCTTCACAGTGAACTCTGTAAAGTTTGGACACTTTGTAGGCTTTATAACCCCTCAACGCAGAAAAGTGGCCAGAACTCTACCTGAACAAGCTCCAGCAGCCCACTCCCCCTAAGCCCACCTCTCTCAGCAGGACTCACCCAAGATTATGCAATTTTGAGGTTGAAAAACCCACCAATCTTTGAGCAGGAAAACCAACCAATCCCCGAACAGGAAAGCCCACCAATCACTGTCCTGGGCTTTTCCTTCAGTTGGTTTGCCTTGTCCTACTTCAATGTGATGGGTTTTTGTTTTATCTTATTATATTTTATTTTGATACATTTTGTCGTTATCTCTTAGAAGTCTGTTCTAATGAGAGAGAGGAAGAGTGGATCTGGACGGGAAGGGAGGTGGGGAAGAACTGGGAGGGAAGGAAGACTGCAATTAGACTGCAATTCCCGTGTATATTGCACGGGAAAGAATCTAATTTCAATAAAAGGGGAAAATAATTTTTTTTTCTCTACAGTATATTCTGATCACAGTTTTCCTACTTGCCCTCATCTTCTCATTTACCCAGCTCTACACCTCTCTCTCTCTTTGGAAGAGAAACAGCCAGGTTAATAAACAAAACCCAAAACAAAACAAAGCAGATGGGTTTACATACGCAGTGCGACTCTGCGGGAGAAAACTAAGTGGCTATCAATTGGAGGAACCTTCTTTGTCAGAGATGGAGGCTCGTGTCTGCTTCCTCCTCTCAGCACCGGGACTCCATCTTTGAACCTGAGCAGGGCCTGTGCGTGGTACCACAGTCTCCGTGAGTACGTGTCCTTGTCAGTCCTGTCATGCAGAAAAAACACTGTTTCCTCGGTGGCTTGTACCCCTTCTGGCTATTACAGTCTTTCCACCTCCTCTTCCGCATATTTCCCTGAGCTCTGAGAGGAGGGATTTGATGGAGACATTCCACTCGGGACTCAGAGTTAAAAGTCTCTCAGTGTCTGTACATTGTCCAGATACGGATCTTGGTATTGGTTCCCATCTCCTGCAGAACGGAGCTTCTCTGATGATGGCTGAGTGAGATACTGACCTATGGATACAGCAGCATGTCCTTAGGAGTCATTTTATTGCTTTGTTCCTTTAGCATATGTTCCCCTGGGCCTATTGCTTATCTAGTCTTAGTTTCTTGGCCACCCAAGCAGTGTCAGTTGTGGGTTCCATTCGTGGAGTAGGCCTTAAAGTCCAGTAAGAGAGTACTTGGTTACTGTTATGTGACACTATTCCACAATACAATATATTTTGATTATGTTTTTCTCTTCCTCAACTCCTCTCAGATCATTCCTGGTTCCCTGTTCATTCAGTTTTATATTCCTTTTCTCTCTCTTTCAAGAAAAAGAAGAAAACTACAAAAACAAATATCAGAGCAATCAAAAGATCAGTAAGACAAAAAATGCTGAAACAAACAAAAGTTTGTTTCACACACACACACCAAAACAAAACCAAAACCAAACAACCAAGAAACCCCAAACCCCAAGGAATTCCTTTTAGCCTGACCTGGAACATGCCTGATATACTCCTTACTCTCCATTGGAGAAAACAGATTTTCCTTTTGTCACCAGGTATCAATTATAGATAGATAGCTTCATGGTTAGGAGTTGGCTTTCTTGTCCATTTCTCCCTCTCTCTTATGGGACCTTATCTGAATTGATCCTGGATAGGTTTTATGTATGAACTCTTTGAGTTCAAAACCTCAGAGATCTCGTTCAACTCACACCAGAGAAGCTTCTTCTTGTATTGGCTGGGAATAACCCATAGACCCACAAATAGACAATGTGAACGCAGTGGGAGGCTTTGGAGCATTCAGTCCTAAATAAGATATCTTCATCAACACTCCCATCCTCTTCCATCTCTAAGAGCCAGAGGTGATGGATGACACCAAGGAAACATTATCTTCCAGACTCAACATGGCAGACGCCTTCTTTTAAAATTTAAATGTAGCCAATTTTTATGTAAGGATTCTTTGAGTTTCTTGAAGGCTCTCTGGGTCCTCTCTTCTCCCAGCAAAAACTCATATTGCAAATCAAGTTTCATGTATTGAGCTCCACTAGCCATGACAATACAGAGATAACTTAATTGTCCTAAGTACTGCCATTTTTGTTTTCAGACTCCATTCAATTATAGGGTGAAGCTAAGTGCAACTTTCCAAGGGGGCTGGAGACTTCCCAATAGCTAACCAGCTTCCATTATTCATCTTTTGTTTCCCAAAACATGATGGTTCCTAATCAAAAAAGAAGAAATGTATTTGATTGGTTGGACTATAAAACCTACAATCTGTATCAGTTGACATAGATCAACTACATAAGGAGAGCCCCTAATCTCTAAATCTTGATTGGTAGAAAATGTATCTGTAACTTGGTACAGATGTTTGTGGTTTTCAAGCTTTTTAAGATTGAAAAAAAAAAAAGTTCTGTAACATTCTGGCTTGGGGCAAGGCAGTGTCATTGCAGTTCAGTCCCTGTAGCCCTGATCGATCAGTACTGGCTTGATTACAATAAACTTTTGCCATCTGCATTGACCTGGTGTTTGAGTGATGTTGGACTCCATGACAATACCATGTGGGTAGTAGCTCAAGGAAAATTACAAGAAATACAAGGATCAAATAAT